GCTGAAGGCGGTGGCCCGGTTGGAAATACTGCTTCGCTCTGCTGAGCACACCCAGTTTTTTGGAGGCCAGCTTGGCCTTGTCTTCCAAATGACCGCGAAACTGAACGTCATTCGATATGTCAACGCCAAGAATACTGATACTGGCTGAGGCAACCAAGGGAGTGCCCTCGAAACGAAGATCCACGACAAAGGGCTGTTTTTTAGCGGTAATGGCGAATACTTGTGTCTTTTTGGGATTGAAGTCAACAAGATTTTGCCGACCCCAATCCGAGACTTCACCCAGTAGGGTCTCCAGTTCAGACACAAGTTTGGTCCGGTTCTCATCGGCAGAGGCCCGAGAAACGTAAGCGCGGGCCGTGTACAGTGCATCACCCGTGCTATCGTCTGCATAACAATGGATGTTGCTAATTTGCAGCATATCATTGATATGCAGAAGAAACAGGGTCGGCGACAGTACACAGCCCTGTGGGACGCCAGCATTAATTGGTTTGGGGTCCGAGCATGCACCGTCGACAACGACCTTGATGCTCCGACCCTCCAAAAAGCTGGCAATCTAGGCGCGTAGTTTCTCGGGCAGCCCGTAGGAAGGCAGCTTCGAAAGAAGTGCTTTGTGCCACACCCGATCAAAGGCCTTGGCCACGTCCAAACTAACCGCCAGGGCCTCCCCCTTGCCCTCGATTGCCTCCGACCATCGATGCGTGAGGTACGCAAGAAGATCACCAGCTGAGCGACGCTGTCGGAAGCCGTACTGACGATCGCTATTTTATACTTACTGATACTTTAAATATTATCTGTATTCATTATGTCATGATATGATCGATTGAATGTTATTACCAAATTCTGTCATTCGATTCGGCGAAATAGATTTATAATACATCAGAGAGAATGGTACCCTTTGAGATTCAATTTATAATTGAATTAGCAACAAAGCGATAGAATCGATACATGATTAATACCATTTAATATCATTAACATGAAACTGAGTACAAGGCTTTATTTAAATTAGTAATTAGTATAATAAAGTCGAACTCTATGTTCATAAATATATGTATATTGAGTAGGTAGTATGGTATAGATGTCTCATGTACAAATATCATAAAGCCAAAATATTATAAAAAAAACAAACAATTAAGAAGTGTTCCGTAAAAGGTAAGTCGAGTCTGACAAATTTGTGAGTAACAGTGGTAGAGTCCGCAATAACATTGTATAACCAATGGGCTTGATGCCATACCACGAATGCACAGAAGACATCCGTAAAGCTGAGGTAATCCGCATTTCGTCCGAAGAGTTTGAGTGCAGGATACCTAATTTTAGTCCTCATCTCCCATCTACCCTATTCGCACAAGATACGGGTGGATTTGACGGAGGAAGGGAAGCATAGGTAGGGTAAATACCACCCTGTGCGTCTCATCTCTGTTGATTAATGGTAGGCAATGCATCTGTAAATGTGGTCTATGGGCAGCAGTTGCTTCGCTATTTTGGGGAATTCTGCTTTCATGTTATGGCCAATTCAGCCCTCATATCTCATAGGTAATGTCTTCTTATTATATAATGTTCAAACTCATAAGAACGAGAAACTCAGAGGTTCGTAAACTTACGAATGTAGGAATAAAATGGAAGATGGAAATCCATTTTATCCAGTTTGCCATTTGGATTAATGAAGTACACTTTCATGTTTCAAAATTTCCTATTACTTTAATATTATTAAAAAGTAACAATAATTTAATATTATTGCATCACACAACACATTTATCTCGTGCACACAAACGTAAGCAAGATTTCGTCGTAATACTTTTTGTTTGAACATGTTCTTTACACTTGGGGAAGGATTTATTATTTGTTAATCCCTCGTTAAAGTTGCTTTCATTTTATCATTTAAATGCAGAGGTAGGTCAAGATTTTTAAGGTGCCCCATTTTAATATTTGACTAGCTTTAACCCGTCACTTCGTGTAAGGAATTAAAAATATAAAATATAGCTTTTGTTCTTAGTGATAATGTAGCTACATAATGGCAAAATAATTTTTGGAAACGGTTCATTACTTGATAAAGTATATTCATAGCATTCAATAATACATATATTTATTTTACAAGACTACGTAGAGTCGTCATTAAACAAGCCCAAAAAGATTTGTCATATGCATTCTGCACTAAAGGAGGTCAAAGAGAATCATACCGTGAGTTTCCGAGACCAAAATCTCCGTTTAAAACATATTGTTAACCCTGTTTTATCAAAGACAATGACGATATGTTTTATACAGAAATTTTGGTCTGTGTTATTAGTTATACACAGTCTGTGTTATACACAGTGAGCTGATGTGACCTGTAGCCTAAATAGCGTGATTGAATTAACAATGAGGTGTGATTTGGTTTTAATATGATACTGCAATGAATGTTTACACAATAAACTAGATGTTTTCTTACTTTTTAAAGTAACTAGAGATATAAGGTCGTTTTAATGTGGATTTCGCAACATGTAGTAGAGTTTCATTGTTTACCTACTCTATCATCTGATGAATAAGTTCACTCTCTTCTAATCTCCTTTTCTTGTTATTTATTCCTTCAGTCTTTAAATTATAAGACTTATTTAGCTCTACAGTTTGTTACTAATTTTTTTCAACCACCGTCTGTTTTAATTTCAATGCAAGATTTGAACGGAAAAATGACATAAGTCACTTACTAAGAATTGTAGTTAAAGAACGTATTAATACAACGGAAATATTTCTTTTCGTTGTGTTTATATAACATAATAATAATAATACAAAGATGAATAAAAAAACAAAACTAATTATTTATATTGAGATTCTAATTAGAAAATTAATATCTTTAGCTATGAATAAATTTATAATTTTATCTTATGTTTGGTATATCTTAACGATTTCATAACGTTTCTACAAACATACAATATCATAATCCTGCCAAATTGATGACAGCTCGGATAAGCCGGTTGTAAAAGAAAATTCACAAAACGAATTTGATTATCGACTAATTGCAAGTGTTTTCTATTAACTAGCGTAATGTCTGACATTTATTGACGTATTTTATGATCCAACGATGGTAACAATTAAAAACAAAACAATAGCAGGCGACGATAGATTTTCGTGACTACTTACGTTCGCTGAAAAATTTCTACGTATAGCTCTTGGTCACTACGTAGCATATGACGCGTCTGTATGTACGAAATTGAAGTAAATAACGTTACAGGTGATAGTAAAACACTGAAATTAATTAACCGGTTACACACTCGTTTTAATTTAAGATTTCGCGTTATTCACACGCAAGCACGATTCGATCACAAACACGTATTTCTCGTATGACGCTCGGGGGCAGACTGAGGCAAAGGCTCGCTCGGTTGTTGAGCCACTAGCCGGGCCAATCGCGAGCCCCGCCCCCCGCACGTCTCCCCGCGCCCGCCCAGGCACGCGAAATGCAAAGACCAGACATACATAGACTATCAAAGTGAGAAAAAATCAATTAAAAAAAACTGTTGTCACCTCGCACACGTGCTCACCAAACATTCGAAACTACCCTATGAAAGGGTTGACTAGGGTATAGTCAACCATACTGGCCCACTGCGAGTTGACTTTACACATACCTTTTAAATTCTTGGCAGATAAGGATGCCGAATAAAATATATGTATATGAAATTCGAAATTTAAAATTTATAAAGAACTATTTCGAATATTCGAGAATTATTTCGTTTGAAAAAACGAATGATAGCTTTCATTTGTCTTTAATTACTCGTTAATAACAAAAAAGCCAACAAATTAATAGGATTATTTTTAATACTCTATGTAGATATATAAAATTATTTAATTCGCGACTATCCTCTTACATACACACTCTTTACTATTATAGACTCTTATATACTTTGTATGTGTCAAGAATTACATAAAAGGGATATATTGGTTATTACATAACAGTAAAACTATTACGTCACTAAATCACATAATTACTAAACATATACGCATAGCTTTGTTAATGTATTTCTGTAATTTATTTTCCTTTTTTTATTTTGGGAACCTAGATTTTTGTTAGCTATTTTTTTTAGATAGTTGGATCTGCAGATCAGATTTATGACTAGGAATTTATTATAATCCAGTATCCATACTCAGCTAATTTTTTACCATCTTACTAATATCCTGCTATGAATGAAGGCGAAAGTTTAAATGAATGTATGGATGGATGGATATCCAAAACTGTTAAAGGATTGTGTTGTATTTTGGCATAGATGGAGAACATAGTCAGGAAAAACACAAAAGCTAATAATTTTTTTAAAATTCCGCGCAGACGGAGTCGTGGGCAACAGGTAGTAGAACATAAAAATTAAGAGTAAATTTATCATGATTTAAAAAAATTCCGCATGGTCAGATAAGTTGCGATACACAAGGAGGACTAGTGTATAGTAATTATTTTTAAGGAAGTTGTTTACATTGTCATTGGCACGAACACCAAAAGGTCTTCGCATATTTAAAACTAGCTTCAACATGCGGTTTCTCGTTATTTTCCTCGGTTTTAACTTAAATAGTGGACAGTTGGGGGGTAAGGGGGGAACGGAAACATCTACAACGACCCAAGTGGCAACCTCACCTGCACGCGTTGTTTTTTTTATATCATCATGTGGCAAACGAGCGAGCGGCCACCTGAAATCGCTGAAATACCGACGTGACTGTTGCCCATAGACATGCATATGCGTTGCCTACCTTTAAAAGACGGGGGAGAGGATGCGTAGAAAGAAAATATTTTCCCTTTCCATGCATCTTGTCAACCGGAAAGTCCACTTCCACTTCCCATCCTTTCCTTATAAGAAAAAGGGTGGGAAGGAAAAGAGACCGCCGCTGTGCGCCCTGTTCGAACAGACGAGGCTTTGGCGACCGAGAAATGGCGGTATAACCATATACCCGGCTGGGCAACCATTCGACAGAGGCTATAGCGACCTTGAAGTCTAAATAACTTCTTGAAAGTCTAATACAGAAGGCAACGGGAAAACACTGCATAATTATTTCCATAGTAATCAGTTTAACATGGAAGAAGACAAAAGAAAATGTGGAGAACTGATCGCCAACCTTTGTTAGTCGGAGAGGCACCTCAAGAAGTGGACAGTTGGTATTGGGTAATTGATGAGTACAGATAATTATTGTTAAGTTAGTTAATATGTGGTGTAGAAAATTTTGAGGCTTAAAGTAAAAGGACAGTCTTTTAACGCTTTAAACTGAGATCATATGAGACCACTAACCGTTGGTTTCTGAAACCAAAATCTCTGTATAAAACATATCGTCAAATCAAAAGAAAATTTTGGTCTAGGAAACCCGAGGTGAAATACCTGTCAGAACTATGCAGTTGCCTTTAGAACTAGAAAACATCTTAACGGACATAAACGAAGACGTCATCAAATGCTATAAAGCAAGTTATAGTATGAGTAGAATACACCATCGATGGGTTATAAATATTCCAAACTACACTTTATCGTAACCCAGTTTCTGAACAGATATTAGAAGCATATTTATGACACTTTATTAGTTGTAAAGTTGTCATATCAAAATTTTACAACATAATATTTATGTCTTATATAAAATAACTAGATGTCGCCCGCGACTCCGTCCGCGTGGAAATATAAAAAAAACTTAATCAGTGTAGCCTATCTGTTTTATCGAGATCTGTTCAGCTGTTCTAAAGATATATTTAAACACCCATCCATCCATCCACATCATATCCATCTACACGTTCGCATTTATAATATTAGTAAGTTAAATAAAAAGCTCTTCAAGGCATAAGTTCCAAAAAAAATAATAAATAGTATCCTATATCCGTCTCCTGGTTCTAAGCTACCTCCTCACCAATTTTCAGCCATATCTGTAAAGCCGTTCTTGAGTTATAAATAGTGTAACTAACACGACTTTCTTTTATATAGATAGATAGATTTTATAAATGTTCTTTCAGGGTCAATCTATAAAACTAACCCTTATACATATTAATAAAATTGTAATGTCTGTATGTAATATATAAAACATATATAATATTTCTCACACTTACTTCAACTAAAAACCAATTTTTGTCTATTTGCCTCTCTACAAGGCTGTGTTTCATTCATTCATTCATTGTGTTTCAAACATTCGCATTTATAATATTAGTATGTTTTAATTGTTATGAGATTTGTATTATATAAAACTGATTTTCATGTGGGAACTAAAAAGCGACGTGAGAAAAAGGTCACTATGTATTTTAAATACATATGAAATCGTAAATATTATGTTACATTAATATCTGTTCTCATAATAAATACGATTAGTTATGGAAAATATCAACAAATGGAAGACGATGAAGCTTTTACAGAAAAGCTAAGATTTATGCAAATAATTAAGAATAAATTATTCTGCGTGCTTAAGAACAAAAGTTAAGAGTTAAATTACCATCTTGACTTATATAGAATGTTTTTGATACTTCTTGATACTTGAAATAATCTTAGGTAACCAAATTTTTTTCCGATTGAAAAATAATGTATTTCCAAATATAACAACGGTCGGTAAATATGTGAATCGAACGTAATCCACGAGAACTGTACACATTTAGGGGACCATAGCCTATGTATTCTCCCAGACTGTATCTCTACATCTATATCAAAATCATCGAGATCCTACCTTTTTTTTCATAATGTGATAAACCAGGGAGCGGCCACCTAAAATCGCTAAAATAGCGAAACGACCGCTGTCCATAGGTATAAGCAATTGCGGATGCGTTGCCTTTAATCGATGGAGGAGGATTATTATTCTCTTCATGTACATCCCACATGAAGAGAATAATCCCCTTTCCATGCATCATCCGGAAAATCCTCTTCCACTTCCAATCCTTTACTTATAATAAAGAGGTTGGGAAAGGAGACTAAAAAGACTCCAGGACGCGCTTCATCAAATGAAATTCGTTCATCTTAACGCGCATTTATAATATTAGTAAGAAGTAAGATATAAGGATAAGAACGTAGAGCAATAAAGAAGTTTAGCTCCAAATGGAGGCACCGCAATACAAGCCGTAGCTCATGAATATGTTAATATTAAAACCATTCCAGCTCGTTATCGTTCACTCTCTGCTTTCGTATCGACCTTATCTTATGTAAGCTTTTATTAAATTGACTACACTATATTTGTATAGAAAATAAAACTTAAAACAGTCAAATAGTCGATAAAATTTAGTTACTATTTATAAATAAGTATATTTTTGGGGTATGGTAAGGATGTTGATCTAACGAACTCAGTGATCGATGCCCAACAATTTTAAGTTCATCATCATCAGCTATATGTCTCCACTGAGGGGCTCGGAGCCTACACTAAGTTAGGGGTGACTCTATAGACAACCACGCTGGCCCTGGGCGGGTTGACTTTATACATATCTTTGAATTTATTCGCAGACATGTGCAGGCATAACGATGTTTTCTTTCACCGTAAGGACGCCGTATAAATGTACATCGAAAAACACTTTGATACATGGCAGGATTCGAACCCAGGACATGTAGATTACAAATCAAATGCTTTAACCCTTGAGCCATCAAAAACAATTATTTTATGTGTGTATTTTCAATTATTATAACCTACCTTTGTAATGCATATTCAAAGGAACCGATAATTAAACAAAAGAATTCGAAATTAGAGGTTTCTTTGTGTTATATTCTTGGCAAACTTTGTAGTTCCAAAGTTAGTTAACAAGCAAAAGTTTGTAACACGAAACACTCTAGGTAGTTCTAAAAGTAGAACATGCTTTGTTTGTGTTATGTGCATTACATAACCATGTATATAAAAGTAACTAAGTCCTTACTCCGCTGGCGCAGTGACCCAATGTGGTTCTTGGCCTCCGACACAATGATCGCCAAAGTTTCCTGTCTTGCAGTCTTGTCTTGCTCGTGCCGCTCCATCGTTTGTATCTCCCGCAGTTTTCTGGGCAGGCCGATCGTGGTCTGTCTGTTTGTTTTGGCTAATCTCTGAAATGGCTGGATCGATTTTGACGCGACTTTTATTGGCATGTAGCTGAGGTAATAAGGAGTAACTTAGGCTACGTTCAAATAAGAAAAATTCTTATTTGTTTTTTTTTTATAATATAAGGTGGCAAACGAGCGAGCGGCCACTTGAAATAGCTGAAATAGCGAAGTGACCGTTGCCCATAGACATACGCAATTGCTTATGTGTTGCCTACCTTTAATCCACGGAGGCGATGATGCACAGAAATAAAATATTTTCCCTCTCCATGTATCCTCTCATCCGGAAAGCCAACTTCTACTTTCCATCGTTTCCTTATAAGAAAAATGGTGGGAAGAAAAAGAGGACTAAATTAGGCCTGCGGGACGCAAACTCATCAGACGAAACGAGGAATTGCTTCCACTTCACGCCTGTCTTCTGTGTGGTCGTGGTATTACACCGGGCGAGCCGGGCCAATTCGTTCGATGATGTTAAAGCGGGCTCTACCACTGTTAGGAAAATAAAATAATATTGCAATGTCCAAGTACCGTCCAGTACCACGCGCAGCTCAAAGATGTACAGCTGGTTATGTAATATTACAATTAGTTGCCAGGTTTTGATATTGTAGAGACAAGCATCAGACAAGACAGTGGTTTAAGTATAAGTGAGTCTGTATACCGTTGATTTAGCCCTTTCTTATGAATTATTCAATAGACGACAGTTCTAGTTATTTTGTTAAAGGCGACGAACTGAAGTATTTACTTAATTACGAATTCCATTTACTTAGAGACGTCCTTTGTGTTAAATAGTTATTTTTCATTGTTATATTACCATTGTTATATTATTAAAAAAAGAAAGTCGTGTTAGTTACACTATTTATAACTCGAGACCGGCTTTACCGATGGGGTTGAAAATTGGTGAGGAGGTAGCTTAGAGTCAGGAGACGAACATAGTATAGTATTTATTCATTTTTATCCGAATTTATGCCTTGAAGAGTTGCTTTTTATTTAACTTACTAATATTATAAATGCGAATGTTTAGATGGATGTGATGTGTATGGATGGGTGGGCTACACTAATTAAGTTTTATATATATCCACGCGGAAGCAGTCGCGGGCGACGGCTAGTATTTATATATATTAAACGTTTTTAGTACATTTTGGTTAATTTACTAATATTTCTTGTATACCAACTGAGCTCTATCCTTGTTAGGACATGGTTTACGACAATAGTCGAATGGCGGGATTCGAAACCCCGACCTCGTGATTGGATATCTGTACCGTTAACCATTAGGCTATTAACGTTTACGTAACGAGGCTATTAAGTTACGAAACGTAATAAAAAATAAAATTCTTTGTAAATTATTTACCAACTAAGAGATACAACTTGTCATCTAATTTTGTACTGATATTTGACATTTGTATATTAAGTACCCAGAACAATTTCATGGTAAAAATTGCATTGTTGTGTAAATAATTCGGTGACCCGATTTTTTTGTAAACAAGTGTAGACTGTAGATTAATGTAATTTGCGTGAATGTTTTCCTAGTAAGAGGGGCCTTCAACTCTTAATGTTTACCGATTCTATCAACAAGGGTGGGGGTTGTTTTGCATAAATAAATCAACCCCCCGAAAACTTTATCAATAAATCCTCCATTTGACTTATTACTCTGCTTTGAAAATAATAAGACTTATATCCGCCGAGAAAAGCGTCAGTGTATCAGAGGTTAAGCGCTTGACTTGTTATTTAGCTCTTGGGTTCGAATCCCGTCATGTACCAATATGTTATTCGATTTACATATGTAAATTTATCCGACATTCTTACAGCTAAGGAAAACATCGTGGTACAACTTGCACATATCTGCACAGAAATTCAAATATATTTGTGAAGTCAATACGCAATTTGCCGGCGTAGTTGACTATGGTCTAATCACCCCTTACTTTAACTTATCTGGGTTGATGATGATGATAAACCCTCGCCATTTTGTGACTACTCGTACAATTATTAAAAAAAATTAGGAACGAAATAATTTGATATTTTCTCTGATTAATTAACATAGGTTTTCGTTCATCTCTATATACTGTTTACATATATAATTAATGAACGAATTTAAATGTTAAATATATATAAATATGTATTTCACATTTAAATTTCAACATGAAAATTATTTTCTTTTTAAAAAGGTCAATTATAATGGCCAGTATTCACAATTATCTTTTGTTTCATAATTTCTATTTTAAATAAGAACGGTTTTAATATTGCTTCTGAAAGCCGCTACTTATTACATTTTGTGACGATACTACGAAAGTAAATAATGATAATATAATTAACAAGCTCTTCGTTATTAACGTGTGAGTAAATATTTATTAATTTGTTAAGCAAATGAAGCCACAATATGCAAAAAATATAAGACATTTATCGTGTACATTGCTATATTTAATACCTTGCATATTTCTTAAGTAAATTTCTAGCGACCAATTAATGTTGATCTCTACGATACTACGAAGATTCCTCTACAAGTTCCTACCGTTAATCGACTAAGAGGGACAGGGTAGGTCTTGTTATATTTGCGTGTATCTTAACTTATACGTCGTTATAAATGTGCTTTTACAAGTAATAAACGCGAGCGGCTGTAGTTAAATTTAATTACGTAAACTTTTAATTCCAGAATATTTTTACGATAATAAAACGCTGTTTGTTTAAAAAGGTGTTTTTTTATATTCTCTTTAGGTTTTGAAATGATTAGTTTACATTTAAAACTGGTAGGAGGCGCTGTCTTTGGATTTTAAGCTGTTTTTTATATATTTTTTTTATCAAAAACTTTACCCAATTGCATACAAAGGAACGTCTCTCTAGTTTGTTAGTTTATGACGACTTCTGTGGATTTACGAATAAATTTAGGTTTAATATAACAAATTAGCTGTCGCCCGCGACTCCGTTCCCGCGGAATTTAGTAGGCTATGTGATCTTCCAGACTATGATCTACATCTATGGGAAATTCCAAGATACCTCAAACAAACATCCATCTGAACATTCGCATTTATAATCTTAGCAAGATAGCTGTAGCCAGTCATCCGCGCGGATTTAAAAAATATAATTGGGTTAAAAACTACTCTATATCTCAAGTTGGACCACATTACAGATGCTTACAAAAATTTATAAGAATTAGTTCAGTAGTTTCGGAGTTTATAGCGAACATACATGAACAAAATTTTTATATATGTAGTTTAGATAAAACTTACTCCAAAATGAATACGAATAATCTATTGAATATAACGTGATTTAATTTTTAACAAAGACTTCTTAATCTATTTTTTTATCTTGCACCAAACATGAACTCCGCAACCCCTCACCCGTCTGCACCCACTCTGCCATAAACCCCATGTAATTAGACACCATAAAACATTACGAGTCTCCGCCAAGAATAATGTCGGGATCAAATTTTAAGGACAAAAGGGTAAATTGTCAATATTCATTCGTAGTATTGAGTATCGGTAGCTCAGTGGTTAAGCACTTGCAAACAGCAGGTCCTGGGTTCGAACCCGCCATGTACGGCTGCATGGATCTCGGTGAAATTTAGCATAACTGTAGAACACATAGGCTACTAATTATAATTTTCTAATCCCCCTAGGACGGAGTCGCCGGCAACATATAGTTTATTTTATTCCAAGGCTAACGAACAAGCAACCTAAATTCGCCAAAATAGCGAAGAGACCGCTGCTCAAACGTTCCCAATTGTAAATTGCATTTTAATCGATTGTGGGGATACACAGTAAGAAAATATTTCCCCTGGCTGTGCATTCTTTATCAAATCCACTTCCTCTTCCCATGATTTGTTTAAAATAGAAGGGTAGGAAGGGAGGGGATTAAAATTATATTCTCCGGTACGCACTTATTAATAAGTATTTAATAAGAAAATGTAATAAAAGTCAATATTATACAATTATTTAATAATAATATGAATCATAATAAAATTTACAATATACTTCTCTGGACTTAAATGCTACAAATTAGAACAGAATGTCGTTTTTATAATACACATGAATTAATTCTAAATATCAAATCACAAAATCCCCAACCTTACACCAAATGTAACATAATGTTCATAACAATTAACGTACGTTTCCACTGACGATTTGTATAAAAACATTTTTTTTATATCAAAAGTTGGCAAACGAGCGAGCATCCACCTGAAATCGCTGAAATAGCGAAGTGACCGTTGCCCATAGACATACGCAATTGCATATGCGTTGCCTACCTTTAATCGACGGAGGAGAGGATGCACAGAAACAAAATATTTTCCCTTCCCATGCATCCTCTCATCCGGAAAGTCCATTTCCACTTCCCATCCTTTGCTTATAAAGAAAAGGATGGGAAGGGAAAGAGGACTAATTTTGGCCTCCGGGACGCACACTCATCAGACGAAACGCGGAATTGCTTCCACTTCACGCCTGTCTTCTGTGTGGTCGTATTGCTTTCTCGCTCTTTCACATTCATCAATCTGCCCTTATCCCTACGGATGGTCGTCTTATGTACTCCTGCATACATCTCTATCACCCGTCATATCTGAATCCAAACCATTCTATCTCGCTCTTTCACATTAAAAATAACAAAGATAGATATATTTTTATTCAGACAGTGAAAACGCACTTTTATACATTAATTATACATAAAAAACAATTATCAATACAATAAATTACATAATTAAACATACAAGGAACATACATATACAATTTCATACATACAATGGCTGAAAAATACTTGACAAATAGAATGAAAAAAAAACTATTAATATGCCATTTGTTAATTTAAAAAAAAAATGCTCACTTGACAATAAAAGGTCAAAAAACTGTTATATGGTCAATTTTAATAGGCTTATTATGATGAATAATTTCATTAAAATTAGCCTCATATATACCCAATTATAAAAACTAAAATTAACTTTAGTTCAAAGTTTTTGCAAGCTAAAAGCATTCACTTATTTCCCTCAAACAATTCCGTATAAATATATATTTAAAATTAAAAACAAAATATAATCTAATTTATTAAACAAATTATTTCACTCGCCGAAACAATTATTTTTTATGCGATACAATTTTTTTTAATCTTAAAATTAAAATCAGACATTTTTACGTACTCTGTACATCCCTGCAGTAAATGGGATAATTATAGTGCGACAAACATTGACCCGGTTGAAATATGAAACTAAATTGCAATAGCTCAAAGTACTTACTAACAAAAAAGTTTTTTTATATAGCAAAAGGTTATAAATAAGAAAGTGGTCACCTAATTTCGCCAAAATGGCGAAACGACAGCTGCCCTAAGGCATCCTCAATTGCAGATGCGTTGCTTTAATCGACGTAGGAAAGGATGCATCGAAATTTCTTCTTCCTATAAGTCACGTCAACTAGCAAATTGACTTTCCCTTCCTATCCTTTCCTTATAAGAAAAGGTTGGGAGGGGGAAGAGTGATATAATTAGGCCTACAGCATGCACACTTATCAGACTGTATGCGGAAACCCCTAATTCCTGTGTAATTGTGGTATTTCACGGGTCGACTTGGTCTATTAGTACAAAATATGTTATTGCGGGCTGTACTAGAGCAAAAAATCCTTGTCAGACTATATCTGTCTTATCAATTCTTGTCATGTCTGTTATTTCATATGCTTAAGTGATTTTTAAATATTTACTAAGTGAAAACAGCCTCTCACTGGACCAAATTAGTTTGTCGCACTATAAATGATTAAATGCAATCATATGTTAAAATTGTCTTGGCTAAAAGCTCTTATTTCGTTGAATTTGAGCTAACCTTGACACATTTAAAAGAAATCATAGTTTGATATAATAATTTTCATACAGAGATAAGACCAGTAAATGTGTCATACATCAAATATAAGAAAAAGTCGAAAAACAATCTTATTTCTTGTTCTATTCTTCATATTATATATTATCCAGTATACTAATCAAGTCCAGCATTCAAACCCAGCACTGGATTACAACTGGAAAGATGTAAGCACACACTAGAACCCTCGTAGTGCATTTCAGATTTCTCGGACTTGTAATAATGTAAAATTTGCATGTTTATCTCTGTACAAAAGCTAAGATATAGGTTAGATTATTTAGAAAGTAATTCAAAAACACAGAGCAACCTGGATAAGCAAGAAATCTTTATAAGCCATTGTCCAGTACTAATGGAGAAACTCCAAGAAACTCGGGTTAGAGAGAATCCTGTATAAAAGTGACAAATATAGCTTTCCTTTGGACTCGCGATTATCAGGGTGCGACTGTACTTTTAAAACGTCAAAACCTACTACAACCATTGCCAAACAAATCCTATCTTATATATTTCCACTCGTAATCAATGAATATATTTTTATAAAATATTTCACATTTTTTTTAATTATCAATTAATTCCATTGATAATGGAATATAATTTGGCTCAGGAGTTCTTTCATATCAATACTGGTATTTAAACCACCAAACTACAATATTAGGGAACACATATTTTACAATTCAATGTTTTTTTAAATACACTTAATAATTAATTCCAATATCCTTTTTATATCCATATCCCAATGTCCAAAATATTTAGCCCGGGAAGAAAATAGTCTTATGAGCAACTGTGGGTTTCTGAGTCCCATCCCAGTTTAAAACATTGTCACGTCTGTGTTGTCAAAGACAGGAATGAGGATATGTTTTATACAGAGATTTTGGTCTCAGAAACCAATTGTCTGTATAATTTCTTATATTACAGTTATTCTGGATTAGGAATGTGTAACTTAAATAACAGTTCATTTCCACTACAAAAACAAATAATCATTACCATCTTTCCCTTTGAAAAATTAATATACAACAATATATAATTGTTTTGAAAGTGGAAAGTCATCGGAAAAAATACTAAAATAAATTCAAACTCCATAGTACACAGTGAACTTTAAACCAAAACTGACATCATTATCATTACAAAAACTCTGAGGAACCCTAATTATAGTGACCCTCAAGCTGTTAAGAATATAAGTCAATAAGGTATGTACAGTCAGGGACATTGGCGGTATTCCACTTTAAAAGGGACATTAAAAAACAGCATATATATTGCAAATAATAGAGATACAGTGAGGTGATTGCGTTTTTAGTTTGATCAAAATATTAATAGCAATTAGTTTCTGAAGAAAAAATGTATTTTAGTTCAAAAACAAACGGAAATATGGAGTGAGGCACTATTGAAAATGAAATAGCGCCAACTAACCTCACTGTACATACACCAAAACTTATTGAAGTCAGCCAGGTTAAATGTTTGGATCAAAATAACTTCAAGAGACAATATAACTTAATAACATGTGTACTTAAACTTAACACACTTGGAATAACTTGTAGCGTGTTTGAATGTTGTGCCCAATATTCTAAGGTTACCAATGTTAGTTTAAAAATAGTTAATGGTTTAAAACCAGTACCTTGACTGTTACATGAAGAACTCCCGGTTTTCGTGTGGTGGTCAAGTGTGCCTCATTTGTGTATTATTTGAATTACCGGTGGGGCTCTGGCAGTTTGGTAAATCTATTATCGTTATTTCTATAACTCGGAGGCCCCTAAGTATTGGATCGGTTATGTGAATTCCTCGAGGATTGTACACTCTTTCGTTCTGCGTCGCTATGAACTTCGATATTTTTCGAAGATGCTGGAACAGAGAAAGCACAATATTTTAATCCAAATTGTTACGCAAATATTGTAGATATTAAAACATGAATGCATATAAATACTAGATAAAATCATATTAATATTATAAATGCAAAAGTTTGGATGGATGGATGTTTGTTACTACTCATCACCACAACAGCTCTACGGATTTTGATGAAAATGAGCATAAATGAATCTTAAAGACATTTTTTTAATTATGCACAGACGAAATTGCGGGCAATAGCTACTAACTATAGATACACACAAGTGCATTGGCAATAATTATGTTCGCATAGCATTAAAATCAACAAAATATTGAATACATTGATTAGTAATAAAGCTGGAAGTGGTAGATGTGAGCAATTATTTTAACCTTTACACTCCTTTAACTATACTGTAAACTATGCAGTTACACAACAAAGTGGAGGCTGCTAGGTTTCTTTTGAAAGTTGAAACATTGGAAGTATGGTGTTCTTTGGAGAACTGGAGAGTTAGCTGGAATGGTCCATGCCTTATTCCATACAAAATACATGCTAGTTGTGGAGTTGCGGAAACCGTAGCCTCTATTACTAACACTGTTCTAGAAGAGTCAGTAGAACTATAGTTCTTCATGATCTCCACTATTGAAGATTGGCCATCGGCTTAGCAAAAGGAAAAAAAACACTGGACAATAGTCAGGTGACTTTTTGACTTACAATGCTGTCAAAGTATTATAAATATTAAATATGTTTACTACCTTTTCGTAATGTGTCTCCGTGCATATGTAAATAAAATAAGCGGTGAGACAGGCAAGACATCCTTCACAGTATGTACTGCAGTCCGCTGTCTCAGCCATTTCAAAGTGTTCATTTAATCTCTCCATTGTGTATTCAAATGTTTGTCTGTCTATCTGGAAAAATATAGCATGTTTATTTTAATTTTTATTTTATAACATAAAGGGACAAAGGCTCAGCGGAAACATCAAGGTGTTAATCGACAGGACATCAGGATTTATTCCTCTTAAAAGGAATTCTGGATGTAATTACTATGTTCACCAAAGTGGTGTGTTAACTAAATATATAGTAGACCTTTCAATGTAAAATCCATATTGTAGATTAAATATTGAAGTGGTAAAAATTTAGTAAAAAATTGCACCTTGATATTGAAATCATCCTTCAACCTATCTCAAAAATATGTTTTCCAATTTATAAAGCATTTCATTTTAAGTTATTCCTAACTGTAAACATTAGACACATGATGGTATATTGTTTATAAAGGCAATAATGGCATCTTTTTTTGGAAAATTTGAGTCTAATGGGAATCTTATCTTTAGTACCAAAGATCGATTACAAATTCATACATTTTTGTACAAAATTATCAACAATTTAAAATTCTATTTTATTATTTTCACAATGTACAAACAATCAAATGCTTTAGAAAACAAACTAACTGTATTACTGTGAGATCATGATAATTTTAAGGCGAAATGTTTAGTATCCTAATAGTAACTTTCACTTACTCTGTCTTCTAGCTCAGGAGGAAACCTTGTTTGAAACTTAACAGCAGTCCCTTCAGAATAATCTCTTTGTATGAATATTTTTATTCCTTGCTGTGTAGGCGTTTGCTGACTGCCAGGCGTATTGGGTCCCGATGGTATCCTGTTATTCGCCATTGTCATTTCAGAAACACACCTAAATTACGTGTCACCGAATAAACATAAGACGATTTACGCCTCAAAAATAATAATGTCAGAGAATAAGATGAGGAAATGTTCAAGAAATCACTTAAAATAACACAATAAAAACTATTTTCTAACACAACGCTGACATCAGTTTACTTGTGAAAATGACAAATTTGACAAGGGCGTGTGTCTGTGGTTTCTGATCGTAAGGGCATAGATAATAAACAAAGAATATGAATACTCCGGAAAGATCCAGAAGAGTATTTATGTAGACAATTTTTTGAAGAAGAAATAAATTTATTATTTAGTTCAAATTCACGTTATCAAATCAAATTGACGTTAATAATTCTTCTCCAAGAAACAGAAATGCTGTGTAATCATACTAGGTTTTCAATTTGTGTGACAGTTAACAAACCCGATTAAAATTGTAGCAAATTACAAGTTATGTATTTTGTGCAGAGTTAATTATTTTCTTAACTATTGCTCAAAATCGTTAGAAGGCAATTGGAAACATTCTAATTATTAATTCGGCTATACTCTATAATATTTTTTTAAATATGTAAACATCATCTTCGCATATATTTTACTTTTATTTTTATTTAAATAAATAGTGTCTACTAGACGGCTAATTTGGGGACTCATATCGCTAAAGTCAAAGGCTAATTAATGTCCTACATACTTAGGGTCTAGACGGAAGACAAAAGATTCGGAATTATCTATTGATTAGTTTGACGGGTCGAGCGTCGATTTATTCAGGACGATTTCGCTTCATTTCGTCCTCGGAATATTAAAACTGGTGATCGCTTGACGGCTTGAAATAAATCAATTAAAGGTGCCATGTTTAGGACGACGTTTTCTTTGCACTTCAAACGATTTTTGTAGGTCAATTAATATCAACAGGATACTTTGTAAACTTGTTTAATATATCGATTTATTTTAAATGCTGCATTATTTGAAATGGCACCATGCCATGGCAATTTGAATTAATATTATAATTATTTATCTCTAAAGCCTTATTAACGACTTACGATTGACACATTTTACCGTTTTGGTAGGAAAGCGCTTTAAAAACCAAAATATACTACTAAAGTAGTTCTAATTGGCAACTAAGAAAATTGTAAAAAAAAGTGATAAAACGTACGGGAAACAATTGCAATGTGAAAAGAAACGCATTAAAGGTAATGGAAAATTATATAAAAATCATATTCACAAAACCGTTAAATTTGAATATTAACAATTACTTTGCAGTATAATAAATCATTGATTTAAATTACGCGACCATAGAGAACTTAATACATTTTAAGCAATCCATTACAATCGACTCTATTACAATTCAATATAGTTCCGAAGTTGGGCGTAGGCTGGATGGATGTTGGAAATCATATCACGGACGGTAGCATCCGTTTTGAAGCGACATCTTTCACTCGGATGTGTGACTTGAATGGGGAATCTATATAAAATGTTGACTTTATTACGTAAGGAATGCGAACGCAATGCCACGCGTTAAAAAGTGTCACTTTCTTTTATATAATTATCAGGACATTGTAAATTAGCTATAACCTACAATATCTGTTGACTACGACATGAGACAGGAGTGAGGAACTCTCTATAGATGGATAGGCCTCATCAGCTTACTATACGTCCCTGCTGAGGAGCTCGTAGTCTACCCTAATTTAGAGGTGACTAGGCCATAGTTAACCACGCTGACCCAGTGCGAGTTGACTTCACACATATCTTTGAATGTCTTCGCAGATTGTAGGTTGCATCACGATGTTTTAACACAGTAAGAAAATGGAAAATGTATAGGCAATTGCTTTGAAATTGCAGCTTTTGCTTTGTTCCAATTTAAACGCTCTTTGAGGTTACGTGACAGTTAAATCTATCTATATTATTAGTTCGAATTGATACCATTGCTGCAAACCTCAACCATCTGCGCCAAAATGGCGAATATCATGTAGGTACAAAACATAACGTCTCATAGCCAGTCCATTTATAAAGGTCAGTGGTTATATGTTATAATGATAAATAAACTGATCCCGAAGGATTAGAAACTGTACGATCTAATTTAATAGTTTCCACAATATGACGATATTTTTGATCAAACTATTAAATAGTGCAGGGGTAGCCAATCAATGGAACGCGACAAAATATTTTGGGCACGTTATTGATTACATTTATTATGCACTATTTCAGAAAACGGTATGAAGTAGATATTATATGTCGAACGAACGCGAGTGATCCCTGTTACATAATTAAATATATTTGATTGTCTATGACTTCTTTAACTTTTTTTTTAGAAAAATGACACTAGTTAGTAAAGGTTCGGTATCTCTGAAGCAAAGATCGCGTCCTAGAGTAACTGATGTTCGTTTGTTTACAAAATTTTCCTTTCAATTTTGAATAGAGTTTAACAATGTGTTTGTATTTGAGGTTTTTGTTACGTATTTAAATAAATTAATTTCCTTTGAGATAGAATAGCAATTATCAACTGTTTTCAGATTAAGTTCTCTGGACACCAAGTATTGAGTTTATTATTTCAAATAAAACAATAAAATCTAATACCGAATAACTAAAACATATTGCCATCCTGCTCATACTCTTTGAAATAACAAAGATACATTTACTTGAATAATGGAAACTCACCAACTTAACGTAACCGAATAAAGTTATTCGTATCATGTGATTAAATAAATTTATGTAAACGCCGTGTGCAGATATTTAAATAATTTAATAATTTTTTACATAATCGTTAAATACATAGAACTGAGCATCTGCCTCTATTAATCGTAGAGGCACTTCTAAAAGAAGAAGAAAGAAATTAACTATAATCTTAAGCATTGTTTTTTTACATCGTTCTTTTCTGAAACCAAAATCCCTGTATACAAATTAGTTGAAGATTCTAGTTAAATAATATACATATTTTATCTCTATAATCTTCTTCTTATATATATAATTGGAATCTCGGAATCGGTTCCAACGATTTTAATAAAATTTAGTACATAGGAGTTTCGGGGGCGATAAATCAATCTAGCCAGGAATCATTTTTAGCAAATGTCATTTCATTCGTGTTTCATCGATAATCAACTTAAACATAAACTTGGAAGAAAAATAACAAAAAGGAGGCGTTTGAGTTCGAAAAATATTATTCATATTTCATCATTTTATTAGTAATTCGTACCTAAATATAATTTCCAAAAAACACAATTTAAAAAAAAATACCGAGCAAAGCTCCGGCCATTCAGGTACTATAAAAGTAAATAGTGATAAAAATATAACGTATAAGTGCATATAAAAGACATCAACGATATCTAAATAAAAATTATAATCAATTTCTCAAATAATTTAATTTATTTTACAGCTTAAAAATTAATAAATTATTTTCTTAGCATCAATAGGTACTGGATATGAAACGCAAAGGAACTGAAACCTTTTGCATTTTAATCAACTTTTATTTATGTCATAATTAAAGATCTTAAGTTGTTTTGTATTGTTTTTATAAATCGGCAAAAAATTAACAACTAGACGTATTGAAACGTGAAAAATATAATTACATTTTGTACCACTAAAACACATTTGTATATATATGTATTTACTAGGTTATTGAATTAATATTTACTATATAAAACAATGAAAATACTTATGTACATTCCATTGAGATTTTATATAAGAATCAATAAAATAAATTAAAATTAATACTTCTCTTCTCAAGCACCCTTATCTTAACATTTATAACAGGGACTCCATCTGTGAAGACTAAAGTAACTAAGTGACAACTTCAATACAATGTCACTTCTTACAAACAGAATTAAAATGTACCACAAGCGAACCTCGCAAGTATCGCCGAAGATAGCACCATTGCGCATTCTAATACCACATCACGTATTAATGCTTGTATATAAACCGAGCCCTGATCATGCATAGTATACATTGTGACCGCATGTCGGACGGCAGTCGGACGCATCTGCCGTCATTTAATTAAAACAAATCGCGAAATATAAAGTGCGAAATGAAATTATTTGTGATTTTATCCCTTGCGGCGCTTGCCAGTGCACAATATCCAGCATCGAAACTCGTTAAAAACATTTATAAAGAATGTTTGAGTCAATATTCCGTGGAGTGTGTGAAACCAAGAACCCTGGAGTGGATTTCTCGAGTTGGAAACGATGATGAAATTAAAATCACCGATAATCTATCCATTGTCAAGATGGGAACGCTGGAAGATGATGAAGAAGTAGACCCTAGGATGGCTAAGGACCCTGCGTACGCGATGTTCGATAAAGTAGATCGCTTTCTCCAAACTCATTCTATCAGAGTGAAAGTGCCTGATGAGATCGTGAGCTCTTCTGCATCGGAGTATGTGCCCAGGTCGCTGCTGACAGACCTTCCTTCGGAGCTGAGCATGCCATTGGATGGCGAAGAAGAAGTAGAAACCTTCGAAGGCAGGAAGAAGAAGATCAAGCTCCCCAAGCCTTTGAGGATCAAGAGCAGTGCGTACCTCATTAAAAAATTACAAAGAAAAAAACTAATACTTTGTTACTAACTAATTTTTTGATTCCAGAACACGGTTTCATCAAGAAGGTGGTCCTGCCCTTCCTTCTCGGTTTGAAGTTCAAGACTGCTGTCCTCGTGCCCCTTGCTCTCGCTATGATCGCCCTTAAGACCTGGAAGGCTCTTACTCTTGGTCTCATCTCCCTTGTTCTTTCTGGTAAGGTCTCATGATAAAAAGTAATATTAAGTCTAGGTTACTTTGATATCAGAGATAGGAAATTTATAACTTTCTGTTTATTTTCCAGGTGCTATGGTCATCTTCAAATTCACCAAACCTAAGGTTGTGAACTACGAAGTGATCCATTATCCCCAGCACCACGTCGAGCACCACGTAGATCACCACGCTCCAGGCTGGGACTCCCACGGCCCTTACCAAGCGAGATCCTACGAAGATGCCCACGAAATCGCCTACTCAGGGCAAATCTAAACCAAAAACATATGCTAAGCTTTAAAATAACACGGACCTCTGATTAATTTATTTATTTAAATTATTTATTATACTGTAAATAAAGTTATGATTTAAGTTTTCAAATTATACTAATCGTTTGTTATTTTTTACCCTATTTTAGTACTACAACGTTTTTGTCCTTGGATATATTTTCATCAGTCCATTTAAAACCTCCTTTTGGATACTTAAAAAGTTCATTAGCTTTTTTATGTTGTTTAGATATATCTACATCAGAAACGAGTTTCCTATCATTGTTATTGACCAGTATTTGAATTTCTTCTTCAGAGATTTTATCATCTGTATCGTAGTGTTCGATTTTCAAAATGTCTTCTAATAACGAACTTTGCACTTTTTCTGGAGTATTATCAATAAAAGGATTAAATTCTGTTGTATGTTCTTGCGAATTTTTTATAATCGATTCCATGTGTTTCAATTTGGAGTTCGTTTTCTTTTCTTTATGCCTTCCACTTTCTTTTAAATCAATATTCAAATCAGGACGTTTTGTATCCGGCCTAAACGATAGTAACTGTTTAGTAAACTTTTCATACACTTTGGAACGTTTCAAAGGATTCATTTTGTATATATTTAGTAGTGTGTTCAATTCATTATCTGAATATCCTGTTTTTATTCTTTGATGCGATATAACACGTTGAAGAGTTGTTACCTGTGAAAATGTTTACATTAGCGTAAGGTAAAAAAAAATCCAGGCGCTTATATTTAAATTCTACGCACGTGGGGAAACTTTGTGGTTGATTTTAAAAACATAATTTAAAAGTTAAATAAGTATTTATAATATAACGTATACGAACATCAGACAGCACTCTTCATCCAGCAGTAAACAAATAGTCTGACGACGAAGATGATAATGAATAAAAACAAATGAAAAGCAAATTTTGATTATTTGCGATGCGAATATTTAGATGGATGGATGTTTGTTTGAAGATATCTCAAGAACGGCTGTATGGATGTCGCTGAAATTTGGCATAGATGTAGAACATCTGGAAGAACACATAGGCTACTAAATAAGTTTTTTTTTTAATACCGCGTGGATGCAACGCGGGCGACTGCTATTCTATTATAAGTTTAATTTTTGATAGAGATAGAACATCTGTCAAAAGTAAAAAAAAAACTGTTTATTTTAGTATGAATTTCAGAAAATAAACAATCGTATTTTCTTTCTTGTTTGTTGTTTTCTTGGATTCGAAAACAACAAACAAGAAAGAAGGTTAATTTCAAATTATAAACACGTGTAGCTGTACATTATACTAATCAGTTCGATAGAATTTCACCTCATTACGCATTTGATCACGTATCAAAGTGAAATGAGGGTGCAAAGTTCCGTCTCAACGTCGACTGGGGAATGAAGTCACCTCTATTGTCTGCCAATACCAAAATAGAAATGAAACTAGATAGTGGATGTGACGTCAGAGAAATGAATTACTTTTGATGAAGTTTGATAAAGGGGAATACTTGTTGACCTGTTTTTCATAGAATCATACAAGGCAAATTTTTATGCAGAAAGATGATAATCACATATAGAAAAACGGAATAAAAATGGCTACAAAGGTAAAAAAAAATGTAAAGACGATTTGTCTCGCTATGCACGGACAGTTCCAAGCAATTCGCTTACAGCCCTATTTTTTTGCGTTGTCAATGTTGCCGTCAAGTCAACTTGAAGCTGTAGTATCTGACTGCTTGAAACTGTCCGTTTTTATGGACCTATGTATATAGGTAGATTAGTTGCTTACAACTATTACAGTATTAAATCAAATTTCCTCAAGGTCGATTCACAGTTTTTATTTTAATACTTACAATCTAACTAATATTATATATGCTTATGTTAAGATCATATATCTCCAGAACGGCTGAACAGATCTCGATTAAATTTGGCATACATATAGAATATAGTCTGGAAGAACACATACGCTACTATTTTTTTTAATTCGCGCACAAAGTCGCATGCGATCGCTAGTTATTAATACTAATATTATAAGTCTGAAAATGTGATGAAATATTTACCAGAAAAACGTTTACCACGATTAGGAGAACTCTCATTTAGTGCATTGTACTAAGACTGTTATGTATCGAGTAATCATTGTTTAGATTGAATAAAGTCAACAAAATGTTGATTACAACGGTTATATTTTGAAATACATAACCGTTTTACTAATATTGTAGTTTTAATTCATACATGTAGTCGCCATCTTGGATTTTTTTATGATGTAAGACATTTGTCTATGGATTTCAACGGTCTAGTTTAGAATTTGGAGGTTATGTATTTTTTTGCTGTGTGTTTTAATACATGTTCTTGAAGAAAGGGTATGTATACATAAATCTTACTAATATTATAAATGCAAAAATTTAGATGGATAGATGGTTGTTAGAAGGTACCTCTAAAACAATTTAACGGATTTAGAAGAAATTTGGCATGGATGTAGAAAATAGTCTGGAAGAACACATTATTAAGTTTTAATAAGCGCGGACATAGTCGCGGGCGACAATTATAGGATTATAAATGAAAGTTGGGAATACTTCATGGAAAGCGTTGGTTACCAAGGAATATTAATTATAAAAAATAACATCTTCTGAAGAAGAAAAAATATTTTAAAATTGGTGTAAATAAAATGAAACAAAATTAACATAGTTTTTAAATTAAATAAATTTAATTTAATATTAAAATAAATTAATAAATAACTAATTGAATAAATAACTTTCTTTGCGATAAACAATTTGGATTGTTCCGAACGATGACTAACTTTGGGTTGCCACTGCCAAAAATATTTACAAAATATATTGTTATCCTTATCTGTTTTCAAAAGAATGAAAGAGAAGGTAACGTTTTTTTGTTACATGTTCGGGAGTGAAAACTCATAGTAACGTTCTACTTATTTTTTGAGCAAAAAAGTTTTTGAAACGGAGACTAAAGTCCTAGTGACTAAATTGTTTAATAATTAATAAAAATAAATTAATTATAACTAAGTATAAAAAGGGTCTTGACAGACGGACAACAAAGTGATCCTATAAGGGTTCCGTTTTTTTGCCTATAAGGTACAGAACCCAAAAAATTAACATAAAACAACGTAAAATAACATTTAGGTTGTGCTTAAAGTATTTTTAATATGGGTTTTGCCGAAATATTTATTAATTATTTAGTAAAATTGACACAGACATATAACAAAGATAGAAAATACATGTTTATTACCTAAGAATAAATATGTAAACTAGAAAAATATTTTAAATATCTCTAACAAATGCAAGATTTTTTAAATTTAAAATTATTTTAATACATCCTTTATATAATTTTTTTATTCAAAGCTTTCCAAACGCCATCTATCTTTTGTCAAAAGTTAATAAGCTTTTGATAAGTAAAAGCACCAAGAGATGGCGTTAGGATAGCTTGGTTTAATTTAAAATCAATTAAGTTACTATACACGTAGTAGAAATGTTAGTCAATTTAATTTACGATTTCTTTCTTTTAAATTAAATTGTGTATCTGTTTGGCTAAACCTGATTTAAAAATCATAAAAACGAAGTTTAAACACGGCTAAACACTCACGTATATTCGTCACGTATATATAACGTAATAATAAATACAGTTTACATAATTCCTATGAGACTTTACGCACAAAATATTTATCATTTTATTTCGAAGTTGTAAATATTACTTTTGATTGTAATTAATATTACAATGTGGATATAGAAGTGTACAGTCTTTTTGTTCCTGTCCATCTCTAGCCGCTTGCACATATCTGTAGTACCTTAGCGCCATCTTGCTGTCAGCGGGTGGAACTAATTCAGTTGAGTCCCTGGAAAATAAAAACAAAAATGTATCATTAAAAAGCAAAGGAAAAGTAGTTGAGAAAGTTATATCTGGCCAGTAACATCATAACGAAAGAAAAAATTGGTAAAGTACGAATAACAAGAGCTCTCAAAAAACAGTTGTGAATTATTATAGCTGTGTTCTGCATTTTGTCTCTCCCACCAATATGGAAAGGAAGGGGGCCAATATGGCGGGGATAAGAAAGAGACAGATCGGACAAGTTAAGGGTCTATACACGCAGCATAAAAACAACGAAGTACTTTTTAAAAGAAGGAATGTCATCCACTAGGTTGTGTACTCTCTTGTCATTTAATAGACTAATTTTCAAATAAACAAAATAACAATAGAATTTGTTTCACAAATACCGTTGTCTACCAACCGAAGTAAAATTTGTGATCAAAAGCCATGACGGATTTTATTATAATGACTTCCAATCTAATTTGGAACAAAGATAGAGACACGTATTTATAGAAATTATGAATTCGTACCAATTTCGTCATAATTCGCGGTACTGACCACTTTTTAAAAAGAAAACATATACATTTTAAAAACGTTTAAAATTTTTTTTTATCTCTGTTTTGTCAAGCATATTCACAGGGATGACGATACGTTTTATACAGATAATTTTATCTCAGAAACCAACGGTAAGTTTTTTTTTTATATCATAAGGTGGCAAACGAGCGAGCGGCCACCTGAAATCGCAGAAATAGCGAAGTGACCGTTGCCCATAGACATACGCAATTGAATATGCGTTGCCTACCTTTAATCGACGGAGAAGAGGATGCACAGAAAGAAAAAAAATTGCCTTTCCATGCATCCTCTCATCCGGAAAGTCCACTTCCTCTTCCCATCCTTTCCCTATGAGAAAAAGGGTGGGAAGGGAAAGAAAACTAAATTAGACCAACGGGACGCACACTCATCAGACGAAACGCGGAATTGCTTCCACTTGACTGCTGTCTTCTGCGTGGTCGTGGTATTCCATCGGGCGAGCCGGGCCAAGGGAAAAACATTCGAAAATTCTAACAATACTATTTCAAAAAGCAACTAACACTTTAAAGAGTAGTTTTAAACTATACTCACTTGCTTAATTCATTAGAGACTAGATTACTGTACGGAGAGTGTTTGAACGGATCGCTATACATTGCGCAGACAGCTCGCTCTCTGCAACCGACGTCATTCGCTCCCATCGGCATCAGAATTGTGTCTACTTTCTCCAATAACGCACCGTAGAATTTCTCAGCTGCTATTGTATCCTGTAATCGAATTTAACATAGAAAATTACTAGGTTTACTGTCACAAAGTCATGAGTAAGATAGAGTTAAGGGCCTTTAACGTCTCATATTAAGTAGTCATCTAGTTTAGATTTCCAACATTAAATCTACTTTGTATGCCAATCTAAATTTATCATCATCATCAGCTCAATATACGTCTCCACCAAGGGGCTCAGAGCCTACCCTAAGTTAGGGGTGACTAGGCCATAGTCAACCTCGATGGCCAAGTGCGGGTTGGTTGACTTCACACATATCTTTGAATTTCTTCTCAGATATGTGCAGGTTGCATCACGATGTTTTCCTTCACCGTAAGAACATCGTGTACATATGTAAATCAGAAATAGAAAAATACATTGGTACATGGCGGGATTCGAACCCAGGACCTCTCCAATCTAAATTATTAATAATTAATCTATAATAGATGTTATTCCAAGATTTTGCATGGTCAAAACTCTAGCCAATATTTATTCTATAAAAGTAATATACTCTCAAAATAGAATTGAGTATGAAAGTTCTCATAATTCTGAGACTCACTCATTTAACTCTGACAAATTTTACTCAAAGAATACTCACAGGATCTTGAGCAGCGAGTATTTCTTGCTGTTGTCTTACAAGTTCTGTCTCAGCTTTCACTCGATTTGTTTCTGTTAGCTTCGCCTGTGATACTCTGATGATCTCATCTCTGACGGGAGATGCAGGCGCTCGGGCTGCGAGTGATGCTGCACGGATCTGGAAATTTAAATCGTTTTTATCATATCACAATTTTCTATTGTCTTCTTTTTTCTTAATTAAGCAAAATAGATTATTTTACTTACGAGTGCTTCTTGTTCTGGATCTCTTGCTGTAGCTTTCTTGTTCCTGTAGTAAGGATTGGGAGGTCCGACGGGTCTGAGAATAACATTGTAATTGTAGTTGTGGTTGTAAAATGTATGTAAGGATGGATAGATGTTTGTTAGAAGGTATCTCTGGAACAGCTCAACGGATCTTGATGAAATTTGAGACAGATGTAGAACATGGTTGCGGACGAAAGCGAAAGCGTGCCCATGACCTCGCCATCATACGTAGGAGGAACAGAGGTGTTTAGTGGGTATGCTTCCCATCTGGAAGATAATCCCACATAACTACCGTGACCCCCGGGGCACGGAGTATGCATAAAGCATTTCCCTCTGACAAAAAGATGTAGAGCATAGTCTAAAAGTACACATAGGGTATTAAGATTTCTTTTTTTCCTCGTGAAAACTAGATTGTAATAAATTTCAGAGAGACACATATCAAGAATTTCATTTAAAAATTATAAAGAATCTATTCTAAATTACCTTACCTATACCTTATTACTTATTAGGGCCCATAACACGTTAGCTGCCAGAATGTTTTTTCGAAAAACGATTTTTTTTTTAAATTTTATCCAAAACCATTTCAATGGGGCCTTGCGGGTCACGTTGTATACAACAATTCGATTAAAAAGCCACAGCGAGGTGTTGAATGGATATATGGCTTGTCGGACACATAGTCCGACATGGCAGCTAACGTGTTAGAGTGCGAAAAGAATTAAAACAATGAAGTAATTTTCTCCTGAAAATATCTTTGTATTTGATGAATATTGTATTGAAAGTGAATTTATAACAAAGATGTTCCATTCGTCGTTTTTATTATAATGACGTGATAGAATGTTGTTACAATTTTAATATCGTTTGAAAACGTAAATCGTTCGAGCAGAGTATTTTCACTCGCACGCAATTTCTTATATAATATGTTTTATAGATCGATGCCCTCACTTTTACATTTGAAAGGCTTAAATCATTTTTAATATTGAATGCCATAGCAATTGAGATATAATATATGAAATTCTCTTTATTTTTTTAGGGACTTTCGTTCTTTTGCACACCTCAGTCCAACATATATAAAAGCAAGGGACATAACAATAAAAAAGCAATGATAATACCAAAAACAAACGATAATATTTCCAATTAATTCATATCTACAAAGCCTTTAGCATCATATTTCGTACGCCGTCTGCTAGAGATAATGGTTGGGCCAAAGTAAACAGAAGTTCGACAACATTGATTTCTCAACGATGTTTTGTTGAATACGTTGAAGCGTAATTAAATGTCTTTCCGTTAGATGGCGCCACGAGAAAAGTAAAAAGTACTGGCACATATTGGCGCCGTGAGATTTTATATTTTTTTTTACAAATGGGGTGGTAGTCTTTTGTTTTATTTTTTCATTATAATTTACAGTGAGTTTTGCAATGAGCTGAGAAAGTGTCCTAAATGTTCTTATTTAATATATAGTAGGGCTTGTTTTGTTTTATGTAAAGTTTTAATTATAAATTCATAATAAACATTTCAGTGAAGAGTGTGTTACTATTTGAACAAAGTTTGGTGCCTTAACCCGGGAGTACTGTTTTGATTGTGTACGAGAACATTTAACAATTCAAATGTTTGAAGAATTAAAAGTGTGTCTGCGAGCAAGAGGAGTTTGAGTGGGTAAGTAAAGCACAAATTAATTATAAAAAATTGCCTAAAGATCTGCTTACTGCGATGTATATTGAAACGAAAATATAGGCGTTAGATAAACTGCGGGAGTCATTCTTGAGTATTTATAACGAGATTGTTGCCTCTGTAGACAAGCCTATGTAGAACCTTTCATATACAATGTATATATGTATACATCTAATTATGTATAAGATTGTATAGCAGGCATTGTTTTTCTAAATTAAACGATAATAAACAAGGATTTGACAATTAAGTACAATGGACTTTTGAGGTTATAGTCTGGACAAAATAATCGATCGCGTATCTGTAGATGTAGAACAAAAGAATGTCGTGGAGAGGATACATCAAAGAGCAGAGATTATACAGATCACTGGCTATCGCCCCCGACTCCGTCTGGGTATTAGATAAAACTTAATTAGTAACCTTTGTGTTCTTCCAAACTATGATCTACAACTTTGCAAAATTTCAGCGAAATACATTAGACATTCTGGAGATCTTACAATTATCCATCCATCCATCTAAACTTTCGCATTTATAATATTAGTAAGATTAACTAGGTGGTTGAAAGTGGAAAACACTGAAATCTGTGGCCGTGACTATCTTTGAGTAAGACCTTTCATGTGTAAAGAAGATTTAAATTGTATTGTAACTAATCTTATTCTTAATAAATTACCTTATTGGACTACCAGGCGGAACCTTATGTCCTCCGGAAGGCGCAACAACATTTGGTACTGCGTTATTACTGCTCGCGTATTCACCAATGTTGGCCTGACCTGGAAAGATGAAAAATCTCCTATAATGTCCTAATCTAAAGATATGACAAATAAGTATGTGAATCTTTTAAGTTTTTGAGACGACAAGGATTTTCAGTTTGAGTTTTTTGGAAAGTGTAGTTTTTGAGTCTATGAGTAAGTGACTTCGTGGGTTATAACCTATTCATGGTTGTCATATGTATTTTTAATTTTAGCTTAAAATAAAAATTCTTTATTACCTGGTGGAAGACCGAGTCCCCAAGAATTGATGTCATTGATATCATTTGCGTGCGGCTTGAAGTTAGCTATGGCATTCCGATGTATATCTGACCCGATGTACCTGATGAAATACAATTTATAGCGTTTGGATTATTTAATGCAAGTCACAAAAAACAATAATGGATGCACATGGTAATGGGCATGATAGGGATAGTTTTGAATATGATTGTGAAGAGAAAAATCGGTAGGCGGTAGGCCTTTCAGACGGGGCCGCGGACGAGTACGAAAGTGTGCCCGTGGTCCCGTCCCGATGCGTTGGAGGAACAGAGAGGTTTAGTGGGTATGCCTCCGCTATGGAGGAGAATCCCACATAACTACCGCGTCCCCCCCGGGTCCCGGAGTATACATAAAGCATTCCTCACTGGAAAAAAAAGGTGGTAGGCCTTTGAAAATATGGATAGTTTGCGTAAAAGATGGCATGATGAAGAAGGGATTGAAATGGGCAATGATAGTTCCATCTGGAAGACGAAAATTTGGTATGTGTAGTGACATGAGAGGATGTTGTTGATTATTATTACTTACTCGCTGCCAAGTCCCGGTCCTGAAAGTTCCCAGTCTTGAGTATTGTAGTCAAGTGTGTGCGGATGATGTTCAACGTGCGGCTTCACCACGACGTGTGATGGATGACCATATGCCGGACCATACGGTGCCTGGAAGAATATGTCGTTATAGCAACCATAGATTTTTATTATAATGAAAGAAATAGTTCCTAATCACAAACCCACTTGATGGTAAGTGGTGGAAAGATGATACGCACTAGCTTGGACACAGCGCTTTAGTAGCCCTTGAAATTGAGGAGTACACTTCGTTCAATTATGATTCTTTTAACTCATAACGATAGAGTCTATTTTCTTACTTATTAATTATCCTATAAAAAGTTAACCTTTATTTTCTTAACATCGTTTACATTATGAAGCATCTGCATCTTATTAATACAGAATGTCTTTGGAAAGCGTTGTTCTATTATCTCGGAAGCTTGTCTGCCATGTCTTTATTTTTTATCAGTATGAAAAGTGATATGAAAGTTACTCAGTCATATGAATTATGCTCATTATTTGTCAACTGAAATTGCATTTCAGTGAAAGTATAATGATTTCTACTTCGTATTTGAAATATCTTCAAATATTTGAGATAGATTTGTAATTTTGATGTGCCATTTCTACATACGAATTGTGAATGTTAGTAAAACCTCCTTCGAAACCTATGGCTTCTTTGCCTTTTTTCAAGAGGGCGAGTGCGTTACGCATACCGAGTGCCTAGGTAAAGCCACTCCGGTTATGTGGGACTCTCTCCACATCCCTAAGGGGACATGGAACCTACCCACTAAACCCCCTCTTTTTTTCAGAGGGGAATGCTTTATGCATAGTCCGCGCGCCGGGGGAGACGCGGTAGTTATGTGGGATTCTCTTCCGGATGGGAAGCGTACCCACTAAACCCCTCTGTTCCTCCTACGCATCATGGCGAGGCCACGGGCACGCTTGCGCTTTCGTCTGCAACCTACTAAACCCCCTCTGGTTCCCTCGAATCACTGTTTACCGGGGCGTGGGCACATGTAAATACTCTTCGCACACATGGCTTCTATGCCTAGTACTTTAAGCTTGTTTTTGCCGTTTTGGAAGCAGGTAAGCAACGCAAATGTACAGAATTCATTTCGTCTTATACAAAATGTTACAATATGATGAAATGAATCATGATAGCACAGGTTCAAATATTATAATACTTCCTCACCTTGTGATGATGGTGTGTAATCAAATGATGATGATGATGATACTTCGTTGTATGATAATTCTGGTGATACCACGAGCAAAGTTTGAATATATGACTCAATGCTGGGAATAGGAAGAGTAGGAATTTTAAGAACATCTTCTTTGCAGTGGACACTCCTAATACTAATGGCAGTACGAATATTAATTTCAAAGCTATTAGTTTTACTACCAATATGATAGCTAGTGCGGCCATTACTAATTTCTTTTTGATGTACTTCTCTGAAACAAAGGAATATATTTTTATAACTAAACGTTCTAAAAGTGTGTACATTTGTAAAAAGGTCTCATAAGAAATGTAAGTCTTTTTATTAGATGTAACAAATATTAACAAAGCCTGACTTTGACTGGGACTGATTAGTTTTTAGGTCCAAAATCCTTTAAGTTGTTGACTGTGGTAATCCACGGTAAGTCTAGGCATTTATTAGACATTTTATAAAATTATATTAGACATTTATTTCAGATTTTATAAAGTAGAAAAAATACTTATTTATTATTGTTAGGAAGATCATCCGACACTGTGCCGGTGTATCAGCGCAACGCTAGCTTTACTAAAAATGTCAACGTTTATATCCCCTCACTTATCAATCTGACACTTGACTTGGTAACGAAAACGCGCTATTCGCTCTAAATGATTCTAACTAATAATGTCTAAAAGTAGGAACAAATAGATATGATGACTATAAGTTTGTAAAATTTAAATTTTACTTTTACGGGACTTTGTTTCAACATATTAATTTCCTTCCTCTTCCTCACTACTTTTACTTAACAAAAAAAAATTAAATTGACATGATACTCACTTATTTTATGAAAGAATATCCTCCCTTGTCCCACATCTTCCTTTGGCTCTAAATCTATATGTACTAGAGCTCCAGTCTTCGTTAAAGCTCGTGGAGAAACTTTTAATGTAGTTCCGTGAAAGAACATTTCGGGTAGCGTTAATTTAAGATCGTGTTCCATTAGAAATTTCACTCCCTTATCGTATAATGCGTCCGTCACTTCTTCCAATGGCGTTTCTGTGAACAATATAATTTTAATTACTGAAAGACCGTTCATCATCATCATCATTCTGAGAGAAAGACTGTATTCTAAAGATATTTTTTTTACATATTTCGTTTCATTAGTCCCTCTCGTCATCAGCTCACTACATGTCCCACTGAGGGGCTTGAAGCCCACCCAAAATTAGGGGTAACTATGCCATAGCCACTCTGGTCCAGTGCGGGTTGACTTTACGCATATCTTTGAATTTCTTTGCAGATATGTTCAGGTTGCGTCACGATAGATGGACCTTCGCCGTAAGAACGCCGGAAAGTAAGTAAATCGTAAGTAAACCGTAAGAAAGTAAATTGAAAAACACATTGGTAAATGGCGGGACTCGAACACAGGACCTGCAGATTATTCACTTTAAACATGCATAAATACATATCTTTCTTCTGTATTAATGTTGGTCAATAGTCTTATTTACTTTTACCGGAAACAATAGTTTTTTCCCTATTCAATGAAAATCATTTGAAACTTTTTTATTGCATTTTTAATTTCTCTGCAATATCGAGAACAATATTATTAATTATATCTCACGTTCCAGATAAAGTTGATTTACTTTCTACCACTTTTACATTAATCAGTAATAATTTAAATAAACAGTGTCTAAATGTATTTTTAGCATACAGGTAAAGTTTGAGAAAAACTTTGATCTTTTTCCTTCAATTTAGATAGATGTCGCCCGTGACTCCGTCCGCGTGGGATTAAAAAACAACAAAATAAATAGCCTATGTGTTCTTCCAGGAAATGTTCTATATGTATGCCAAATTTCATCGAGATCCGTTCAGCCGTTCTAGAGATACCTTCAAACAAACATCCATCCATCTAAACATTCGCATTTATAATATTAGTAAGATAGTAAGTTTGCTTGTTGTCTGTCGGACGAAATAGTTTTTAAAAGGAATATTTCCAGTAGGTCTAGCAAGAATATTAGTGTCAGCATTGTATCAGCTGCGACAAAGTGTTAAAATTTTTGTTCCTACCAGTCTTAAGTACAACAAAAATCTCATCCTAATATCGATATAATTGACGAGACAAAGGCCCATAGTATTGAGCTATTGGTATTGCGCGTGAAAGCAGACATCAAGTAAATATAACAATAGGCTTTGTAGTATCGTTATTACGTATTGTCGATGATTTTTCTCACATTTTCCGATGCGGAAGTTTTAAGAAGAAAGTTGTAAAGTAAGTACTCAGTAACAACACAGGTGCACTTACTAATATTATAAATGCGAATTTATAGATGAATGTTTGTTTGAAGATATCTCCGGAACAGCTCAACGCATGTAGATGAAATTTGGCATAGATGAAGAGCATATACTAGAAGAACACATAGGCTACTTGTAAAGTTTATTTTTAATACTGCGCGGACGGTGTCGTGGGCTACAGCTAGTGTACATGTAAGATTATTGTTGAATACGCTTCATGGTAGATTTATGTTTATAATTTGTTCTGTCACATTTGTGTTCCAGAAACTTTATTTTGCGGTTTGCAGTTCGTATGAGATAGATCTTGTGACCTACAAAATGTATTTATTTATACATTTATATTTCAAAGCGTTTAAATTTAACGCTTGGTTTTCATAGCGTTAATCACATTTGTAAAAATATTGCTTATTGTTTTGTCAGAGAAAATCCACACTAAACATGCTCTGCCATTAAGTGATTTTAGGTTATCTTACTAATTTACTAATATTAAATATGCGGAAGTTCAGATGGATGGATGTTTGTTAGTTATCTTAACAACGAGTTAACTGATCTCGGTGCCAATTTGGCATAGGTGTAGAAAATAATCTTGAAGAACACATAGGCTACTGTTTTAATTTTTAATTCAGCGCGGACGGAGTCGCGGGAAGAAGCTAGTTTACATAAAAATATAAAAAACTATTGAATTACTTACGACGAAATTATTTTGAGTTCATTTGTAAGGTGCAATTGTTTAACTTTAAATCCGGTTCTAACTTTAAATAATTTCTTTGTACAGTAAAGAAACACTTACGCAATCGAATAACATCTCTACGACCTACATAATAAGAGTTACGTTTATTGCACAAGTATTTATTGTAGTAAGCACCTGTCAAATAATTGATGTCCATTTTACATTGCATAATGATCTTTATCTCACGGTAATACGACACATTTTAGAACAAATTAATATTACCAGCGATTTAGTCTATTTTACTTTCACTTGGAGTGAAATGCTTTCGACGTTTCTTAGTATCTTGTCGTTAATTAAATTCTGTATTTAAAATTGAAATTTTTTAATCTGTGATAAAACAATTATCGTTACAATTTTTAAATATTTTATCATAATGACGCCGTTTAAAGTAAAAAAAAAAAGTTTAATAAAGCTTCTTTTTCTTACACAAGGGAAGACAATTACTAATCTGTCAAATGTCCGTTAAAAATAAAGGGGACAACATTTTCGATATTTTTTTTTTATTTATAAGAGAAGAGCAAACGAGCGGCGCGAACACCGAGATGATCACCGACACCCATGGACATCTGCAACACCAGAGAAACTGCAGATGCGTTGCCGGCCTATAAGGTCATAGCATACTCGCTTCTTGAAGGACCCTAATTCATATTGGTTTGAAAAATGATCGTAGATATTGCAAAATTATTTTGTATGGACCGGATCAAAACGTTAATAGACACAATATTTTTTAATATTAAACTAGTTGTTGCCTGCGACTCCGTTCGCGCGGGATTAAAAAGGTTCCTAAAGGTTTAAAAAGTTCCCCGGCAATAATTCAAATTTTTTGTCACCTTTTAAACCTTCTCTAGACCTCCACAAACATTTCAAGACCAAGATAAGATAAATCCGTTCAGCCGTTCTGGAGTTTTAGCGTGACTAATGAACACCAATTGATTTTTATATATATAGATAAACTAGCGCTTAACCACGATCCCCTTTGACAAATAATCTTACTTCCATGTACAGTTAAGTAAAAAAGTGTAATAAAAATATTGGTAATTGTAGTTTAGGTTCTCCATGTCGGAAATGCTCTGTTGACTACTATGATTATCCTAATTATGGTACAGACGCGCTGAACCGTCCACTGCACATGTCACTTCTGAAATTTAGAGCACGATTGTACTTTTATATGTTGTGTTGAGTATTAGACCGTGAGTTGGTACAGCCAAAATATTACAAGATACAAACTAGCTGACTACCGCGACTGCGTCCGCGCCGAAGAAAAAAAACTTAATAAGTAGCCTATGTCTTCGTCCACACTATGTTTTACATCTATGCCAAAATTCAGCGACATACATGCAGACATTCTTGAGACATCTTTTAACAAACATCCATCCATTCATACATCCAAAGATGCGCATTTATAAAATTAAAATTAATACTTAATATATAATAAGACTAACCGAGGGTATCTGAGACTAATATCTCTGTATAAAACTTACAATATGTTTTAAACGGAGATGTTGGACTCAAGAACCCACAGTTAGTAGTTAATTTAGAATATATACTAATTTAATTACTTAAAACATTAAAAATCTATCTTCAAAATGGAATCGTAGTATTAATTCGTACTACACAATTTAATTAGGCTTTTAAAGACCTAATGGTTAGTCATTTTCTATCCCCTTATGCCTTTACACCTCATTACTTCGCTTTTATGTACTACACTAATGGCCGTAATTCAGGTTATGTGGATGTCAATATGACAGACCTATGTTTATCTTTAATGTGGGTTTTCATTGACGACACGACCTATAAACAGTGTGAATTAGAGGGATCACACGCTGTGTGTATAGGCAATGGAAGCCCTAGGAAGCTTAAGCATAAATCTATTATATCTTACTAATATTTTAAATACGAATGTTTGGATGGATGGATGTTTGTTATAAGGTTTCTCCAGAACCGATAAACGGATCTCGCTGAAATTTGCCATAGTTGTAGAACATAGTCTGGAACACATAGGCTACTAACTAGATTGTTTTAATTCCGTGCGGAAGGAGTCGATGGCGACAGCTAGTATAAGTATAAAAATTTGCTTCAATACCAAAGATTAATTAGGGGATTAAATGATAAATAAATTTAATTATTTATTCTTCGAGAAAATGCAACTGTAAATAATAATTATAAATATAACATTTTTGTAAAACAGTAATTTATATTTGAGTACAGTGAAGAGCAAAAGTACCGTTGCATCCATATTGCAAATTATAACCTTCGAACTAAAACCTGACAGCGGAACTGTACAACCAAATGATAAAAACATCATTTGTTATTCAAATTTTTTTGAAAAGAAATTTAGTTAGTAACTAGAGCCTGACCTTTTTAACCTGTAGGTTAAAATTACATTTTGAACACAAATTATTCAAAATGTCAAGATTTATTTGAAGAAAATGTTTCTTAAGATGACCCAAAAATCTACATAGAACTATCTAACTAATCTTATCTTATTTCTTACTATAATATAATAAATGCGAATGTTTAGATGGATACATGGATGGATGTTTGTTTGAAGGTATCTTCAAAACGGCTGAACAAATCTCGATGAAATTTGGCATACTCGTACATATATAGGTAGATAGTATAGTCCGAAAGGACACATTGGCTAATTTTGTTTTTCTTTTAATTCCGCGCGGCCGGAGCCGAGGGCTACCGCTAGTAGGAAATTGTTTCGGTTGGCAGAAGTTAAATGAGCTATGACCTTTATTGTCATAAATAAATGTGAATAAGATTGAATTAAGAAGTTATTTTGTGCATAATTCTCCTTATATGAAAATTTGAGAACGATGAAACGAAAGTGCGTTGTTTACTTTTAGTGTAACCTTAAAATGTACGCCTACGTTTGTGGGTTACCTTATTAGTGTTCCATAAACAAAACTCTTAAGCTTTAAGCTTAATGCGCAATAACTTGAAGTATTTTCAATAACTTTATTTGCTGATTTTTATATGTTTGCATGTTAGCTATGGTTGGATTTCTTTGGTGTACATGAACTGACTCCTAGACGCATTTTGTTTTTAATTAATAACGTCACTATGATTATTTTACTTACCCTGAGTTTCTGAGATAAAAATTCCCATTTTAAATATATTGTTATCTCGAATATAAGATGACGGGGATAACAATATGTTTATACATAGATTTTAGTCTAAGAAACCCACGGTTAGGAAATTCTAAATTATATGACTACTGTTAATGTAAACACTTATATTATAAATGCGAATGTTTAGATGGATGTATGTTAGAAGGTAATTCCAGAACGGCTGCATGGATCTTGCTGAAATTTGGTATTATATAAATGTAGAACATAGCCTGAAAGAACTCATATACTACTAACTACATTTATAATTTCGTGGGGACGGAGTCAGCTAGCAGCTGTTTATTCCTAGTTGTTCCGACACATATTTTTCTTTAGAAAGCGATATCATTTTTCTTTTTATTGTTTTGTTTTAAGTTGTTTGTCGACAATCGAAGGCTTTCACAACTTTATCTCAAGTCAATCATAAACAGGAAGTCCGCTCTGTTAATGTATTTATCGTTTTTTATGACAGCCCTTTTAATAAGAATTAAACATTGAAACGAGAAATTAACCGAATGTACAGTCAGCTGCATAAATATGTACACACTAGTTGTCTGCATGCTTCCGTTAGCCGGAATAGAAAAAAAACTTAATTATTAGCCTATGTATTTTTCACGACTATCTTCTGCCTCTGTGCAGAGTCTTATCAAAATTCGTTGAGCCTTTCCGTCGATACTTACAAACAAACATCCATCCATCCGTCTGTATAAACTTTCCCATTTATAATATTAGTAAGATTGACTGACTTTAGAAACTTTTAGAGGCTTGTTGTTTTAAAAATATGTATGCTTGTATCCATCGATCTGCTTCCGACAATGAATACATGCTATTTATAGATACGTTTTTAAAACAAAAGGCCTATACAAGTTTCTAAAGTTATAAATATGAACACATTTATGCAGCTGACTGTACATGTTACAATCAAACCTTTTGACACACTCATTTAACAGGTTTCTACGTTCTTAATTTGCTAACGATATAACCGATCGAATTATAATTTTCTACGCACACAGATTTAATCGAAGCAAGAGGAGAAACTCCATAAGACCCATAATTTAGATGTTATGTTTCTACAAGTTTTCGACATAATTTCAATTTGAGAGTTAAGTCAACGAAATGGATAGAGAATAGACTTATAGTAGAGGTACTTGTAAACTTAGTTGAAATGCTAAATATGCAAACTATATGATAAATTCTTAACTTCACACGTTTCTAAGTCAAAAAGGAAACGGGTGGAGGTCACATTAAAATGGACAGTCTTCTGATTTCTATAACAAAACCAGACGGATGTGACACGAATATGTACGGTCCATTGTTACTATGCGTACGAGGTTTAAATGCGTTAATGCTTTCTCGCTTTGAGGTTATGAATTGAGTATTGTAAGGATGTTGAATGATGATTAGAAATTCAGAACTTGGAACATACGGCACTTGGTGACTGTGAAATTGTTATGAAGTCTGCCTATTTCTTTTTGTGAGTGTCATAATAGCTCACTGCTAATGCTATTATTACACATGTACTTTGGTTGTTTCTTAATTTTTGTTTAATTCAATCAAAACAAACTTAATTTTCTGTGCGTAGAAAATTAAATGACGATCGTTAAGGTAAGCAACAGTACAAACAATTTTAACTTGCACATATAGCAGCCGGTTAAACCAACCAACGGCTATTTGAATTCGCCAAAATAGCGAAGCGACCGCTACCTTTGGACATCTACATTTGCAGATGCAATCCTCCGTAAATCCAAAATATATATAGGACGCACTGAAAAAGGATATTTCTCCTTTCTATGTGTTCCCTTCTCTTCCAAATCCACTTCTCTTCCCTCTCCCCCCGCTATAAGAAATGGGTGCGAAAGGGAAGAGGATAATTAGTACTCCGAAATGCACACTCATCAGACTAAACGAGGAATTACTTCGTTTTGTGGTCGTGGTAATTTACGGGTCGAGCTGGTCTATTCGTGCAAAATATGTTATTGGCAGGTTCTATCATTGTTGATAAGATTATTTAAGTATTTGTGTACATCACAGGAGACCGAAGAGCTGACAGCAACCTCGGAAAAAGAATTAATTTATCTATTCAAAGAGGGAACGCTGTCAATATCTTCGGAACCTAGCATAAAGGGACACCTTTTAATAACTAGTTAGTTATTCATTTATTATGTTTCCTTAAATCACTTAATTACAAACATTAAGTGACTAAAGTTAATCATTAGCTTAGTTAATGAATTCTTTGTGTACTAACCTGATTCTTCTTCATCGTGGATTTCATTTTCTTCATCTAACGATCGTTTATCATCTTCTTTCTTGCTTCCAGTTACATAAATGATATTCGCTTCTTTACTATATTTATTGATGTCCACATTATTTTTCTTGAAACTCATACCATCAGCAACATTTACATCACCGTTAAAATCTAAACTTTCATCTAAATATGTATAAACGTTCTTTTGTAGACAACTAACTGACGGCTTAAATGTACATTCGTTAAGAATATTATCCCATAATCTATTCCCTGTATTAAATGTACCATTATGATAAACATTATTAAAAGATCTACCAGATATAGCTTCTAATATTTTTAACCTCTTCGGTATATCTTTCTCTATGTTTCTTATTTCATCGTCTGTTACATTTTCACTGCATTTCACTTCACTTTTGTTTATAATTAGAATTAATATTACACTAGTTTTTATTATATTTAACATATTGTTACTCTTTCGTCTCACGTTTTGTAGTTTTTTCGCGCACTTGAACACATTTTTGATGGCCATCGTAGAGCCAGAAAATTATAAACTTTTGTTGACGTATCCTTTTTGTAATGATTCCATTTTTCAGATGAAATGTAGACACTGTTTTTGTTGCCTTTGTTTTTCTTAGTTTTTATGCATGGTTATTGACATCTGCAAAAGAAAAAAAGTGAATTTTAAAAACAATTAAAAAATTAATACCAGTTCACAACTATATTTCAAATCGGCAGGACTCTACCGTCTATAGAAAATTTTCTATAGACAATTACAAAATCATAATGTCGTATCCATCATTGTCTTTGAAAATAACAGTTATAATAGTATTATATACAGGTAAATTTAAATAGAAAGCCACTAACTAAAGTATGAGTAAAATAGTGAAAGAAAAATTCATATTTTATATTAACTCAAGAAATCTTTAGTTAATTTAGAATTTAGAAAAGTACGTAAACAATTAATCAATAAATCTCTTAACCCCAATGTACTATTTACATTTAAACAAGAGACAATGAGGTTGTTCTAAAGTGTGCCTTGTCAAGTGTGTTTGCCGGTCATACGACCGGATTGGTTGAAGATTATCGACCATCAACGAATGAAATGTAGACTATAATATCAAGTGATTTATATCTCTTCTATATCTATATTTATAGCTTGCTATTGCCCGCGACTCCGTCCGCGCAGAATAAAAAAAATAATTACATACCCAATGTGACTGATATAGATGACAAAAACATGACAAAACATTGATAATGTTTCACGAAAGTTTGAATAATTTAAATACCAAATTTCATCGAGATCCGTTCAGCCGTTCTAGAGATACCTTCAAGCAAACATTCGCATTTATAATATTAGTAGGGTAAAGTAAGTCTTAGCATGCTCATTTAATGTTAATAGGACTAACTAAATGTCTGTCCGTGGGTTTCTGATACTTAATTATTTATACAAAATATATCTTTGATAAAAGAGATAAGAATATGTTTTAAACATTCATTATGCAATAATTATATTAAAAGTTTATTATAAAAAATGATCAACTTCTTAACCTTGACATCAGTCGTATCGAATATTCTTTTAAATAATTGCCACAAAGAAAGAAATTCGAAGAAAGTCTCCATAATATTAGTTAAATTAATCACTGCCAATAAAATTGATAAAGTAGATATTATATATAATGTTCTTAAAATGTACTCAATATTTTATTTATAGTGTTATTTTTATTGAATTATTTTAGCGTTTCGAAAGTGAAAATCTGTAAATAAAGTGAAAAGAAAATTAAGAAGATATTCAATAATAACTTTGAAACAATATCTTTTCAATTCTTTATAATAAAAGACATGATTATTGAAACATTATCTGTCGCACGTGACTACGTCCGCGTGGAATTAAAAAAAAACTTAGTAGCCTATTTTTTTTTATTGAAAATATTAGCAGATTTTTTTGTAAATTTACTAATATTTCTTTTACTATTCCAACTAAGCTAAAAGCTTGTGCTAGGATATGGTTTACGACAATAGTCAAATTGCGGGATTCGAACCCCCGACCTCGTGATCGGTAATCTGTACCCCTAACCATTAGGCTATTGACGCTTTTAAAGCCTATGTGTTCTTCCAGACTGTCTTATACTATGCCAAATTTTAGCAGGAATCATGATGTCGTTCTGGAGATACCTTGTAACAAATAATCCATCCAAACATTCGCAGTTGTAATATTAGTAAGATAATAAATTGATTATTACAATAATTATGATTTCTAAGTTGATATTAAGTTAAACTTAAATTCTTTAATGTTTCAATAAGTTAATGTTTGGTACATTAAAACATTATTGTCGTAGGATTTAAGTTAAATTAAGTTCGGTTTACAATTTTCCAGTCAGTTTACAATATTCCACAGAGATTATAAAATACGTTTACATTCAAGGTACCAGGATAACATAAGATTAAAGAGATTGAGTCTTTACACACATCAATGAACATCGTCTTGTTTTGGATTCCGAGGCAGCACGGATTCGTTACGCTTTCCAGTGGCGCGTGCAGCATCAACAAAGAATTAGATCGAATGGAACTCGCATTTATGTTACTTCATTAATATTTTAAACGAGGATTTTTAAGGAGTTTTTAATAGAAGTATTTATAACAAAGCGTCAAAGATTTAATAATTTTTCGACTTACTTTTCCGTGCAAAAATTGCTAAAAATATATAACAGAAAGCTTCAGTTTGACTTTCAGTCAATTTAAGTCTTCGTATCTGATATATAAACACGGCTAAACACTCACGTATATACGTCCGGTGGCGGCACCGACTAGTTTCGAGCCAATCGGGGGCCCTTCATCAGGATGAGTGGTACTGGTATTATTTCGCGGTCGCGGCCTGTCCCTCGTGAGCGTATATACGTATATACGGACGTATATACCTGAGTGTTTAGCCGTGTTTATATATCAGTTTAGTATAATGTCTCACGAAAGTTTGAATAATTTAAGTCTTCGTTTCCATCAATTATCCTTTATTAATGTTAACAATTATTAAAAGAAGTAAATTTTGTTCAAATAACTATAAAATTACAACTCTTACTAATATTATTACAACGAATATTTGGATGAATGGTTGGATGGGTTTTTGTTAGAAGGTATCTTCGAAACGGATCAACGAATTTTCACAAAATTTTGCACATATATAGAACATAGTCTGGAAGAACACATAGGCTATTATTAAGTGCTTTTTTATTCTGCGTGAACAGAGTCGCGCGCCACAGCTAGTAAGGTTATTCGAAGACGTAAATAAAAGTGATAGCCATTGACAGTCGACATTATGCAAATAAAAACGAGTAACTCACATATTTGTGAAGAAAGTAAGGACGCGCCTACTGGCCCCATTTAATATCACGTTGGTAACATGTCTCAAATTAAGTAATATAATAAGCATTTTTTTATTACTAGTGATTGAAAAAAAATAAAGGATATTTTCATTTTAGTTAAGAACCAAATCATTGACCAAATCGTTAAGAAACCAGAAAAATGTAAAAGAATTTTGAAATCGGCACTTCTAAATAAATAACATATTTATTGCAACTTAACAATCAATTGTTTTATATATCTACTTTTCTTTTGTTTAGCTTTTTTGTCTTTCTACTATAGTCTGAAAAAAAAACCGTTTAATCTCTGTCCTTTTTGTTTATATATTATATAATTGTGAAATGGTTAATAACGTCTGTATTTGTTAATTTGCTGATCTTATAAATTAATAAGCGACCAGTAAGTACACCTAAACCCTGTGGGTTTTTAGTGCTACTGTCTAACCGACGTTTAATTTGTTATGTGAAGTTTTTGTATAATAAATAAAAAAATAAAAAAAGTTAACTAATTTATATTTTGCTATAATCTCTATTTTATGTTATGATGTTTTCTTACTTTTAATTATTATAAGATGAAATAAATTGTTATCAAGAGGAACAAATCTATAATACAGTTAACATTTAACTGTAAATTTTCACAGTTTTCACATTTGTATAATACAAAAATGTATTTTATGTCCATATTTTCGTAAGTACTGAATACCACCTTTTTTTTAGTAACAGTTATGTTATATTTGTTATCAGTATTTCAATGTCACTGACAAAGATATGACGCTTCCATAAGATTTATATCTACGTTCACTCGACCGCGATGGACTTTTGTTTTCGAATGGATGGAACATTCCGTTCAAATTGCATCGGTTACATAGATGAATGGCTTTATAAACTGGATATGTCGTATTTTAACTATGCAAATTATTATAACAATAAACAATAGGAATGTAAAACAAAATAAAGAGCTACAATTCATTCATTTTTATATAGGTCGTAGAGTTTAGCCTGCGTAAGCTAAAAAAGCAAAATTGTCCCATTTTTCTCTGTGTTCTTGGAGCGGTTTATTGAGAATAACTTAAAAACTACATAATAGTTGTTAATGTTTCAAAATTGGAACCAATTGCCATGCGACACCTTTTGAATAAAATAAGAATAATGAAAATAGGACCTTTTTGAAGTCGGTTAAAAAATAGAGATATTTTGTGCATTGAAAAAAAAAAGTATGTAAAACTTAAGATTTTTTTAATTGATAAAAAAACAATACACCCAAAAATAAAAATTATTAAATAAATTATTATCTGTAAGCGCAAGAAAGTCACCTACTCGAGGTAAAACAAGAAATCTCTATTGACCATGCTCTTAGTTAGCGAGAAAGTGTTCAGAAATATAATATT